TATCGAACTGACCAAAATGGCGAACTACACTCTATTTCCTTGAGTAGCGGAGTAACGAATTACTTTCAGGTACCTGTTCCATAGACATACATAATTGAGTCGGGTAAAAAATGAAAAATATAGTTACTTAAAACATTCGAAATTGTTGTATGATTTGATACAACGAATTTCAAAAGACATTTTATAGTTGTATGTATATCGTGAATAACGAAAATATGGAAGACTCCCATTATGAAATATTAGATTTTTTCCAACTCAACACCCAAAATTGTTTTTACTTTTGAATTTCGATCAAAATTTTCGATAATTTCTATGAAGAGCACTTTCTAATATATCACATATATGATATTATCAATTTTGGCTGGAAAAAAGGAAAAAGTTATTATTCCATCCCATCTAATAGTGCTAAGGTATTTCATTACCTCAAAAATATGAAATAATGATGAATCCCTTACGTCTTAATAGGTGCTATCAGTGAATTATACTTAGTGTGTGAATTTAAATGGCTACTTCAGTTTCGTTTCCAGTAAAACGAATGAGCAAATGTGCTTTTTCTGTTGAAAAAAATTATTATTCTTAATGTTTATGACGCTCTCATACCCCTAAATCATTCGTATAATTTTTTAAAGACAAAACACAAGCACTACAGGAAAATCCTTAAGGCGCTCTCAGAGCGGTACCTGTGCGAAAGTAGTCATCCAAATTGGATTGCTGACCATTAAATTCATTTGGAAAAACCTTCTCGGGAAATTAATTCCACATAAACGCCGTTCTCCAAATGAAAGAGTTCTTGAACAGTGTAGTTCGTGGTATACTGAGTTGAACCTCATAACGATGAGCAGCTCCAGTTCGTCGCGTATTTCTGACATGAACCGCTCTTGATAGAATCAAATAATAATAATAACTTTATTCACAACGAATACAGATTCGAGTACAATTAAAAAAATATATGTGAACAAAGTGGTTTGACGATAAGAGCAGCGCTCTTGTTTCCCAAGAAGTTGTAAAGAATATGTAAGTACATAAATATTTGTATAAAAGTAAGTATGGCCTTCATGGAGTAGAAACTACAAAACATTTGTTGAATTTTGTGAATTTGGTGTTATAGTTATGCAAATTATATTTCGACTTGACGTAAAATAGGCCGATTAAATACTAGACAAACAAAAAGGAAGAAATATACATGAAACCTTATACAAATATCACACGTTCTGTAAGAATAAAATATCAATGTACAAATAGATAAAATCTTAGGCAATATGGATAAGATTATGCTACTTACAATACAGTATGATACAACTTTGGGATAAATTTGACTAAGACTAACTTAATTCACTCTAACAGATTTTTTTTAATTGTCTTTTTCGAAAAATTTCTTATTTTGTGAGGTACGGTGTTATATAATTTAGTTGGCATGAAAGAATATGCTCTTTGTGAAATTGACTTTTTAACAGTATGATAGGTTAGTTGGTCGCGATGTCGTGTGTTATAGTCATGGTTTCGTGATGATGCTTTATTTTTGCGGAAATGATACTTCACGTTTGTACAATAGTAATATAATTGTCTCATATCCATAACTTCACACTCTTTCACACTTTTTCAATGAACGGAAGTTGTGAAGCATTGTTTGCAGTTTTTTTATTGTATATTTTATATGAGAGTCCCACCTTGAGTTTCTATCTATGTAGACGCCCAAGTATTTGATTTCTCTCAGGAAATCTATTTCAATGTTTTTCCTTGTTCGCCGACATCAAGAGTTTCAAATGAACAATCATTGGATGGATTGCAGCTGAAAGGAAAAAAAATAGTTTTTTCCAGATTCACTGTCAGGAGCCTTTGGTCAAACCATGTTTTGAGCAAGTGGAAATTTGTTTCTACGTTCTTTTTCAATTAAAGCCAAGTGTCTGCCTCATAGAATATCTAAAACTTCCCATGAAAATATCTATAGATCTATAGATCTATAGAAGAGAGATAAATCTCCAACTTCTCTTCGATGTTCCACACTTTCAAGGTTGCAAGTGATGTTCGCGTCTCCAATCAGATGGATGGCTCTTTTCTGGATGGAATCCAGCAGCTCCAGGGTATGTTTGGGGGCCGAGCTCCATACATGAAAACAATACTCCAAAGAAGGTCTGGTCTGAGCTTTATAAAGCATCAAAAGTTGCTGAGGTGTGTACAGCTTTCTGGTTCGGAACAGTGTTTCGAGCTTTTGAGAAGCAGCCTTCGCAATTCCAGCGACATAATTATACCAAGACATATTGGTGTCCGTTTTAACTCCCAATAAACTTATCGAAGCGGCAAGCGAAATTGTTCAACCTGATATTATTATATTCGATTCGGAGTCATTTATCTTCATGAAGGAAACCGATGCCTTAGTTTTTTCCAATAAATCGTTGATATACAATAGAAAAAAGGTGGAGACAATATGGATCCATGGGGAACACCAGCTTTGATGGTGAAAATATTCGAGAGATATACATCGACGGCCACTTACAGGGAACATTCTTTCAAGGAGCTGAAAAGCCATACAAAAATGATCCGCAAAGCCATAGCATCGAAGTTTGTCCAGCAAATCCTCATGCCGCACACTGTCGAAGGCCTTCGAAATATCAAGCGCAGCAGTTTTTGACTCTCCATGTTTTTCGATTGCGTTATTCCAAATATGGAATAAGATAGAAGGTCGCCTGTTGATCTTTTCCTAAAGACATATCAGTGATCGCTCAAGATGTTGAAGCCTTCCAAATAATTGAAGATATGGTGGTTTACTCTAGTGGAAATGTTATATATTCAAGAAAAAAGAATAACATGGAGCTGTGAAAGGAGGAAAAACTGTGCCTATTGATGAAAACTACAAACTTGCAATTAGAAGAATCGTGCCTCCGTTTTATTCCAAGGAAGAAATAGCTGGGCGAGAATTCATGAAAGTCTGTGAAATATATTTCTCATTATACCTGAATCACGTGTTTAGTTTTGCTTTCGGGGTTGTGTGTTCTGTTTGTTTATTGTACACGTGATAATTCAGGTATGATGACAAAAGCAGGCGTGACAATACCGGTAACCAGCCAACACAGGTAATTGGGCCAAAACAAGCAGAATAAGAAACCCAGGTAAATGGTACCACCCACACCTATAATCTAAGGAAGAGAGTTCGAGTAGATCAGTCTCGCCATGCGATTACTGGAAGCGGGGGTCCCACAATGAACAGTTACCTACTCAAATAAACACTTACTTGTGGAAAAAAAAGTTTTCGTTGAATATCCCATAACTCATCAATCATTCAAAAAAAGGCTGGCGTCACGTGGTGTGAGAAAATTCGACCGTGGTGTTTCAAAAGACGTGTATAAGATCGTGACAGGTGACGAATCATGGATATATGCGTATGAGTCGGAAACAAAACAGCAGTCAACCGTGTGGGTATTCCAAGACGAGCTGAATCCAACAGTAGTTGTTTGTGGAAGCATAGCGAAGCAAATGGTCCCCTGTTTCCTCTGCCGAAAGGGTCATGTGGCCACTGTTCCGCTTGAGCAACGTAGAACGGTCAATTCTGAGTGGTAGGTATACAACCATTTGTTTGCCTAAAGTCTTCGGAGAAATTCGTTAACTAACTGCCTAAGATGAATTATTCTCCATCATGACAATGCGAGCTCTCACTCATCTCGTCAAACAGGTGCATTTTTGAGCAGTCAAAACATCGAATTGATGACATTCTCCGTGCAGTACTGATTTGGCACCAAATGACTCCTTCTACTTTTTGTATATCAAAGGTAAACTGCGTGGTCAATGATTTACGAGCGCCGAAGAATCAGTTGAAGCCTTCAAAAACTATGTTTTGGAGGTGTCTCGAAAGGAATGGAAAAACTGCTTTGACAAATGATTTCAAAAGTGTATTGATCATCAATGGAAATACTTCGAAAAACAATAAAGCCATTTTCATAAAAAATATTTGTTATTTGCTTCCACCCAAATACAGGGTGTAACTAAATAAGTGTAAAACATTTAAGGAGGTGATTCCTCTTCGATCTGTAGTTGTTCGTAAAATAATTTTTTGCTGCGAACTGGTTTATTTTGGGCAAAAACCCAAGAGACATTTTTTGTTTAGAATTAAACAGGCTATCGAAAATAAATTTTTGAATGGTACACAAATGATAAGACAAAAAGTTACATTGGAAATAAATTTTAGGGGTAGCATTTTCCACCCCTTACAATCATGGGGTAAACCAAATAAATTACTGGCTAAGTGTCTTTTTGATAGTACAAAACATCAGGTTGATTTCAATATTGTAACTTTTTCAGTATTTTTTGCTCAATACTCCCCTCCTTTCTGCTGGAATGTATTCATAAGCTGGGTCTCCACCTTCCACCACCCAAATAGTTCCATTAGAAGCATTTTTGATGATGTTGACCATTTCCTTCGCCATGTGGTCAGGTCTGTAATGGAGAAATATTTTTTATTTTCAACTTGTTAATCGAAAATTTTTGAAAAGTCACTTTCAAGTTTTCCATTGTGATTCTGCTTCTTCACTGATTTTCCAAACATTACAAAAAATAGATCTTATCTAAAGAAATTAACTTTAAACGTTCAAGCCACTCTCGAATATACCTATACAGTAGGTTGAATGGACTGACGCCTATCAGAAAACAACTGCTTCTCTGGCAAGAGTCGACCTTCAATTTTGGAATGGGCACACTTGCAGACGGGTTTCGGGCTCATTAGCCACTCATCAGCTTGTCAAAAAATGCAAGAATGAATGTTTGTGAATTGTTTCCAAGAAAACACATTTAAATGTGAGATTTTCACTTGAAAGTTTACAAAACAGCAACACGTGTATTGTGACGCCCGAAGATGTCGTTGAATAGCGAAATACGTGTCACAGTTTTGTAAACTTTCAAATGAATATTTTGAATATGTTATAATGGATTTCCATCAAGTATCTATCTATTCTAAAATTCCATAATAAAGTCTCAGAAATATTACTGCATTTAAACGAAAACATTGTTGTCAGGGTGTCATTCTAGATATTTTATCGACTGATGAAATATATAAAAGGATAAAATATATAAAATCACCATTTGACAACAATCGTTTCGTTTTAATGCAATAGGTAATATTTCTGAGAATTTGGTTTCTACTATTATGGAATTGTAGTATATCTATTAACATGAATAGTGTCATCAACTTCCTTCAGGTAACGGGTCAGTCCATTCATAATATGTTTATAAATCAATTGTACCACCACAATTTACATTTATAATGTCTTCTTTCAATTTGGATAAACTATATCAGTCACAAAAACTTCAGTAGGGGGAAATGAGGTTGATTTTCCAACGTAATTGATAATCTCCCAAATCCGGCATGTCTTCCACAGCGATTTAGCATAGGGCCGCCGCCATGGCGGGATGGGGGGAGCCTCCCCCCTGCTTTTTCGACTTGGGAAAAAGTTGGGAAACTTTGGGCCATGAAGATGGAAAAAAATAATAATAAAAAAATGAATAAAAATTGAAAAAATAAAAAAGAGAGAAAAGAAAAGGAGAGGTGATAAGAAAAGTGAAAAAACTAGGAGAAGGTTGGGATTTCCCAACATGCATAACTTGTACCTACTATATGGACTGAAAAGTTTCGGGACCAACACATAGGTGGCGCTAGTGGAATTGCATTCACTGCTTTTTCAGTTAGTACTTACTAACCTTCAAAACTAACCTTCAAAATAAAACTGATATTCCACTCATAAGTTTGTGAGTTGTTGGGCTAAGAGTGACACTACTTTTGTTATTTTCAAAACAATGGATCAAAAACAATGTTGTGTTTTAATTTTACACCGCTTCTTGATGAGCAAAAATACCGTTCAAGCGAAGCAATGGTTTGAAAAGTGTTATAAAGACACCGCTCCATCAGAAACAACATTGCTGACTTCAAACGTGGTCATAGATACACCGATGATGCAGAACGCAGTGGACGTCCAAATGAGGCAGCCACACCAAAAAAACAATAAAAAATACACAAAATCGTTTTGAATGATCAGGAAGTGAAGTTGTGTGAGTTAGCTAACATTATAAAGATATCAAAAAAACGTGTTGGCTTTCTATTGCATGAGTATTTGAGAGAGCTCTGTTCAAAGTGGGTGTCGCGCGAGCTCACTGTTGATCAAAAACAAGAACGTCTATATTTTATTCCACATGAACGCAGTTCTATAGATGAAAGAGTTCTTAAACAGTGAAGTTCGAGGTGTACCTCAAAACGATGAGCAGCAACAGTCCGTTGTGTATTTGTGATATGTACCGCTCTTGTTGGAATCAAATGTATCAAGTCACTTGAACACCTCCCTGGGGATGCATTTGGAGGCAAAATGCATCCCCAGGGAGGGATCAATTGATTACAATTTTCTTCTCCTGAGGATGCTAACTTTGTTGGCGAAACGCGCGTCGAGTGCAAAAATATCAGTTTGGTGTTAGGCAATTGATCTCGAAAAAAGTTATTCAACTTTCACACCAAAGGTTCCAATCTCATCGTTACTCATCGTTAAGTATATAGTAGTTTACCAATTTCCTCATGATTTTTAATATCACTGATAGCAAAACGACTGGTCTAAAGTTATTTGGAAAATGTCTCTTACCCTCTTTGGGAATGGGCTGTACGCGAGCAATCTTCCAAAAAGAAGGAAAAATCCCTTTCTTGTAAGACAGGTTGAAAAGTCTGATGATTCTGAGCAGTGGTTGGCTATGTTTATACGCAACAAATCGGAATTTTTACATCGATATGTGACAATGGATGAAACATGGATCCATCACTTCACTGCGGAATCAAAACGATCGTTATCTGAGTGTAGAGAAACTGATGAACCTCGCGAAAGCGCCCGAAAGTACAAAAATCGGCAGGAAAGATTATGGTCTCGGTATTATGGGATGTGCGTGGTGTAATATTCATCGACTATTTTGAGAAGGAAAATGTCATCAACAGTGAAAATTATGTAGCATTATTGAAGCCTTTGACAGTCAAAATTGCGACCCCATTTGAAAATACAGAGAGTGCTGCTTCATCAAGACAATGCACAGTATTACAAATCAATGAAAATGATAACAAAATTGCATGAAATGGGCTTCGAATTGCTCCCGCATATACCATATTCGCCAGATTTGATGGAACCAAGATTGCAACTGATGCAGCTCGAATTTATGCTCAGAGGTTCCCTAATCATCGCTATCCCACTTGACATTATTTTCCAAGACTGGAAAGAAAAATGTGAAATAAACCAGAAGAAAATGCCAATAACTTCATCGTCAGTGAAGAAAAAAGAAGTAGACGTGTTGACCCATGTTGAAGTGAATTACGGCGTCAATTCGCCAAATTATTTTTGAGTGTGATATAAGTTAGTCGTTAACGACTGTGAAGTCATAAGCCTCAAACTCGTAGTTTTTCCATGTTACTTGATCAAGAATGAAGCGATTTACACAATCCACGCCATTCTAGATCAAAAAATAAAAATTGGAATAAAAATTATTTTTATTTGTCAATTATTGACAAGTGTAGTATTGTTGGAGTCGTTTTCGGTCAAATCGGAAGTACGGCAAATGTAAATGGAACTAAAATACACCACCCACAAATTTCGTTTTACTATCTCCAATAATAAAAATATTATAGGGGTGAGCCACCGTAGAGAATCACTCGGTATAACACGACACGGTAGGATGAATATTTACCGAAATATGGAGCTGAAAAACATATCACATTGAAACGGACATATCTCTTGAAACAACGTAATATATTCATTGTATTTGTATGTTTCAGAATTTGATATTGTAAATTAATTTTCATAAATATAAAGATACATTTTTGGGAAAGAAAATTTTTGGCTTTCTACTACTCCATCTTGATACAAAAAAAAGGATGAGGGAATCTTTCAAAGAAAAGAAAGAAGTAATCCATTTGAAAATAAGTAACTGTATTCATGGATGTGTAGATCATGCAATAAAGTAACTTTCAGACACAAACTGAAAAAAAATTCTTCTGAAAGAAAAAAATTCTTTCGAAACAAATAGTTCTATATGAACACTGAATTATACAGAAGATACTTTTCTCTACTCAGTTTGTATTTCAAACATTCGTTGTGGAATAAAAATCAGATATCTTCTGATTTCTTGGACTTAACAATTAGTAGAAGGAACAACATTTTCAATTTATCACAAACCGTCCTATACGGATATTACTATACATTACGATTCTACCCATCCCTATCCACACAAGGTATCAGCTTATAATAACATAATTCACAGGTTAGTCAATGTTCCTCTTTCAATAGATAATTTCAATAAAGAACTTAATATCATCAAGCAAATTGGGGTTAACAATGGGTTTAAAGCCTAATTAATAAACAAAATAGGTACTTGTCAAAAAAAGTCTATGCAAAAGTGATTCGAGACGTTTTTCCTATTGATAAGGTACAAAATCAAAATTATAGAGCTTTAACGTATTTTGGACAACCAACGGAAAAAGTAGCTTCATTTTTGAAGAAACGAGATATGAAAATAGCATATAGAACAAGTAATACGTTGGGAAAGTTAGTTAAAAATAATGAAGATTTTAAACATCCAAATTCGAGAAATCAGGAGAATATGAATTATAGTGTGGAACGTGTCCTAAGGTTTATTGGTCAAACTGGCAGAATATTTAGGAATCGAATCCAGGAACATCATATGAGCTATGTGAATAAGAAAACAAAATTCAACATATTCAAATCAACTTCTAGAAAAAAACCATATCGTCAACGAAGAGTTCAAAATTTTGCACATAGTAAATAAAGGTTTGAAACTGAATCATTTGGAAATAATGGAAATTAATAAACTTAAAAATGCAAACATTCTAATGAATGACCAACTAGATTTGAATAGATCACCATTATTGAACATGTTTTCTTAAAAACCGAGAAATAATTATTATTGATGAAGATGTGAGGTAATATGCTTCAGGTGATTATAGTTTGAACAGGTACCTCAGGTAGAGATTTAGGTATTTTTTGAAGGTCGTCTCAATTATGGTTACCTGTAGTATATTAGTAGTAGTATAGTACTACTACTATACTACTACTACTACTACTACTGCTACTGCTGCTGCTACTACTACTACTACTACTACCACCACCACCACCACCACTACTACTACTACTACTACTACTACTACTACACTATACTACTACTACTAATAGTATAGTATAGTAGTAGTATATTAATGCAAGAACAACTTGAAGTATTCAAATCACTTGAAAAAGCTACTATGCTAACGAAAAATGTGATATATTTCTCAAATAAAATTTTGTGGAGATCAAATAGTGAGGTGTAGTTTTTGAAATTCAAATAGTATACTTTCTCTCAAACAAAACAAAATCCGGCCTATTGGCCGTGGTAGAATGGAAGCTGAAGTACCTAACGTTTCGTCTGCTACTGCGGCAGACATCATCAGTGGTATGAGTGTTGACTTCGAGGACGAAGGTTATATCTCGAAGTCACAGCTGAGACTGACTTCCGTCCTCGCAGTCAACGCATACATCACTGATGATGTCTGTCGCAGTAGCAGATGAAACGTTCGTTACTTCAGGTTTCATTTGACAACGGTCTATCATACCGAATTTTGTTCTCTTTGGTAGTGACACTGACCGTAAAAGCCTATGTTGCAATAGTAAACTCACTTCTTCAATAAATTAATGTTCAATTTTCGATTTGATTAAATTTCGTTTGAAAAAAAGCACTCGAGTAAAATACATAGAATATTTTTTCCAAAATCACCACTAGGTCACACGTCTATCGGACGCCCTGTATGGCGATAGTTAATTATGTAATCTACCAGAAATGAAGCATATATTGTACACCCACACATCGTTGATTCACCCTGTCTTTAGCAAGTAAATGAAACTTCAAACTTACTCTTGAGAAACCCATTTTTCGCCATTCTTCTGAAGGAACTCCTCATATATTCCTCCCATATTCCTGCCTCCCATATCGAAAATCAACGGGGTCAGAGTAACTCCTGGACAGACAGTGATGAACCGGACCTTGGTTCTTTCGTAGAGAAAGGGGTCGCTCCAGCCCCTACCCAGTCCTATTACAGCGTGTTTGGTTGCACAATAAACGGGAATATGGGCGTATCCTTGAAGACCCGCAGTGGAACTAATGTTGACGATGAGTGCTTCGGTTCCTTGCTTGTATTTTGGAAAATATTTCTCGAGCCCCAAAAGAATTCCATGGATGGTACCGTTCTGTAAGTTTTTCGAACATATTGTATAGTTTAAAGCGGATGACAGGTGCGAACACGAATTCAGTGCCGCGCCGCTTAACCGCGCGTTTTCGTTGTGTTTAGGACGCCAAGAGTATTTTGCCTATATTATCTGTTCTTTTTAAGTGAATTTATTGAGTGTATGTTTGTGATTGTTATGAGTATATATCCGCACCTTTTTGATGTATAATATGTAATACAACGCATACAGGGCCTTTATTAAAAATATGTTGCGGGTGAGCTGAAGCTATGAATTGTCCAACTTGAATAGGTGACGAAGTGATGTTCTTCACTTCACTTAGCGCCCTAGGAGCTAAGTAATATGCATAGAAATAAAAAATTGAAGATATCACATAAAAATCAATAAAAAATTATGATTTCTCGCGTCAAAAAATCCCGGGTACCAAATTTCGTGCAAACAATTTATTTTTTGCAAAACTCATGTTTAGAAAACGATTAATAAAACAATTTCAACACCCGATATATCCGAAACGAGGCATTTTCGTACACAAGTTTATATAGCCTTTTTTTTCTTAAAATTGTTCCAGGAATACGCCACTTGAATATTTTAACGTACTTATGTTACCCCCTGAATAGTGGTCTGTTATTATCATTATTGCAAACGATGTTTTGTATATTATTCACCTGCTACGTTTCATAATTAATTCTAGTAACTGTCATGGTGCGCGTAAAGACATTTGATTCGTGATGAATAATTGTTATGTCATAAAATAAATGAAGTCAGCAATACCCATCAAAGTATTATTTACAAAATTACAAGCGAGAAGATCGAATCATTAATAGCGAAACCGTCATGTAATTAGACCGCAAAATATTGCGAATCAATCTGCAGTAGATCTCCTATTTTGGTTTTCGAGCTACTATTCTATTGTTCGAAATTGAAAATCGACTGAACCTTAGCTCAACTAAGGACCTCAGAGTTTCTTCAGAAACACCGGGGATTTACCGAATCCCTTGTAGCTGTGGATCAATTTGATAATTTCAATCGAAAGGAAGATGATATCAGCATTAATGAAATCTGGTCACTTACAATCAATTGTTGTCGTACCAGGTCATTTCTTGAACTGATAGAAACGAAGATAGGCCCATCACCAATGGAATGAAACCAGAATTCCGAAACAATTCTACAGTGCATTTTTTTAACAGATGAATCTTTCAAGATGGCGATTGGGCGCCATCTGAGAAAAAAAATAAATGGAAAGGGGAGTCTTGTGGCACATCTTTTTGAAGCTTCTGATGAATGCTTCACAACCCTTGAATATAATGTCAATATCTTCAACTACTACAAAATGGTGGAACATTTAATAATTGTCTGAATACATTGACATTTGACTACATAATATAAGGTAATGAGGTTGAGGTCAGTTCAGTGCGCACTAGTACAACCGAAAACTGAATGAGAACTGAATATTTCAACTGAACAATTATGTTCATTGTCGTACTGACATTTCTTGTCGTTTTTGTAAACAAAAAATAACTTAACAAACCTTTCTGAAGAAATGAACTTTAAACGTTCAAGCCAGTCTCGAATATACCTACACAGTAGTTTAAATGGACTGACACCTATCAGAAAACAACTACTCCCCTGGTTAATACTACGAAGGACGTTGAATTATATCCGACAGGCGTCAGTGCAGGAATTTTCACAGAAAATGTCCTGCTTATGCAATTGGCAATACAACTGAAAGAGTCGACCTTCAATTTTGGAACGGGCACACTTGCAGACCGGTTTCGGGCTCATTAGCCACTCATCAGTGCAAGATAGTGACCATCATCGACCTAAAGTCAATGATATTCCATAATTCAAAATCGCCAGAATGTCATCGTCATTTCATCCAGGTTTGGAGACCAGCTCCCCTACCCTTTTGGCTAAGTATTCATGCATTAATTTCATTATATCAAATTTGAATTTTATGAGTTGATCCGTTCAAAAAATATAAGGAGGGAAACAATAAAGAAATGTACTGTATAATATATGCTTCGAGGACAAGCAGAACGATTCCTCCGTTGCCCAATCGCCTTTAATGAAATCTACCGCAGACATGGACGGTAAACTTCAGAAACAAAAATCTGTACATATTGGCCGAAAAACTCTACCCCATATAATTGAAAGATGTGTTCCCAACCTTCCGAGAGAATGGGTAATTGAAAACATGCCTAAAATAATCCCCCCAGAATATAGATCGTCGGTTTTTTATGTACGTTTGTAAATAGTGTTGAGAAAATGGAATTATCAGTGAATTCAAAATGTTGTGTTAAGCTACTGTATGAACATGGATTTGGCCCAACAAATATACGATTCGAGCTACGACCATGAAAATACTTACTATATTTATCGCAATTTGTCTTTCCCAAACAGCGTCATTCAAAATACCGGCGTTGTTTATGAGAATATCAATATTCCTGAATTTTTCAACGGTTTTCTGATAAGCATCTGAAATAAAAATATCTTATAGTGTCTCAGAATAAATTTAGCTTTCAATTTCATTTAGAAATAAAGTAAAACCAACTGTCAAACTGCTGATAGTCAACAACGTCGGTCTTGACAAATATGGCTCTATCTGGACCAAATTCTTCTTCAATCTCCTTCAAAGCCTTCTCTCCAAATTCCTCGCTCATATCAGCAAGTGTAACTCCCTGAAACAAATATTTTCCAGATTTGTTGTATATTGACTGACTTATTTGTTAGAGTCATATCGAAAACCTGGTTCATATGTGGACAAGGTAAGAACATGTCGTTATCGATTGACCAGATCAAAAATGAATTCTGTTAATGACAAACTTTTCAAAACTCTCTGCCACATAACCCTATTTTCATAGGTGAATATTTATTTGTTTATATATGTTCAATAGGAGTATTATGAAACAATGTTAATTATTTTTTATTAAAACAACGATAAAAATAAAATAAAAACAACAATAAAAATTAATTGGCGCTCCGGGGCGACTTCATTGATTCTAGTGGCGCATTTGCTTTTTCAGCTGCAGGAAAACCCGGAAAAACCTGCAGCACCACATCATCTGAAGATCTTGATCTATATACAGGCTGATTCACGGTGGATGGCACATTAGACGTTTCTGGTGAACCAGACAACGGATCACTTTGAAAATTCATGTCGGTTGATTGGTCAAACCACCAACACTGACATAAAAACTTGGCAAGTTGACTTGGGTGTCACACCAATAGGTGGTTCCACTTATGTTTGGCTTCAGTGTTCCATCCTGATTTTGAGCAGCGGTAGATTGCATCTATTGTAGAAATAGTTTCTCTGATAAGGAGTGGAATTATCAAAGCAAGATTCGTGGTTGTTATGTTGGGGCCACACTAAGGAGAAATATTAATTATCGCGATAGCCACGACTATTTGATAACGGCAGTAACATTGCCGTTTGGCGTTAGACGATAGCTCATAATAGGGAAGCCCAAGCAGAAATTTCGGGATTTACTAAAGCGCGGCAGATTAATATACAGAGGGATACCTTGAACCCGGTTAAAAACCAAGACCAAATATGAGCCGCATATATAAGGCCGCCTGTGAGGGATAAAGGATCAGATTAGTAAAAAAAATTGATCACCAGAAATTCTCGAGCGCGTCAGATTAAGTTAGGGTGAGTTAATTACCTGCTAAAAAGCGTATATTCCAGTAATCTGACAATTTGAGAGTGACGTAAAGAAAGGGGAGGGCAGCAAAGTTCTAAAAAAATAACGTCATTTCGACATCTTTGAGCGTAGCTAATTTTTTTTTATTTTGAAGGCAATAATTCAAAGATAACGAAAAATATATCATCTGACGATTTCCGCAAGCCGAAATAACAAAATTTCATCGATAAAAGTTAATGCGTGAAGCTGTGTGATACCTATATTTTCCTCTCCGAGTTTCTATTTCTCTATTCTCTATTCACTTTTTCTCTATCTGTTACTCTCTCACTCCGTCCCTACTCTGAATTCTGTTGCCATGACGCCATCACAACTGATCACAGAGACTCGCTCGTGATTGAATCAAATAATTGATGGATGTAGCCGTTAATACGTGGTAGGAAATCATAATGGGGAAAAGACAAATTAAACTTTCTATGTTTTCAACACTTTTATTCGTAACTAACGTTACTGCAGTTTTGTCCTATAAGGACATTTTCAACGTATACAATATATGACGACATTTTCAAACTTATACAATATATAAGTTTGAATATGTCCTTATAGGACGAAACTGCAGTAACGTTAGTTACAAATGAAAGAGCTAAAAAGCATAGAATCTTTCATTCCTTTTTTTTTAATGATTATTCAGTTGATTATGAGAAATTAAAATTTTTTCGAGCATTTTTAAATAATAATTTTCTTATAAATACAAATATTCTAATCTGAAAATATACTCTTATTCATTTGCATGCTATTTTCTGAGCTTTTCGATTAATTAACTTCAATGAATTGAATAAAAAATTAAAAAAAGATTGTTCTTGTCAGATTAAGCGAATCTCTCATAACATAAAGATGAACCATGTATATCTTAATCTGACACACTTGAGTATTTCAAAATGGCAAATATTTTTTGCACATTATAATAATGGCCGCGAGTTTGCTTCAGATCGAAATCGTCAGATTATTGAATGAGAGCTTTTTTTTGTTGTACTTAACACTCCCTTAGAAAATCTGACGCGCCCGAATAAATTTTTGTTCTTCTCACTTTCAACCCTTACGTACAACCACCCACATCATGCAAACGATCAGATTAACATACCAACATTATTGAAAATACGTCGGACTTTGATGCTATTAATATCTGACGCGCTCGAGTATGTCCATGCAACAGTATTTTTCACATATTTAAAAATCTATAGCTGCTTCCCCCACTGATGAAAAGATAAATATTATATAACATTTTTTCTTCTTATCACCTAAGCTTTGCAACCTAATATGTGTCAATGACGCTCGAGTAAATCCCCATTTTGCATCGTGGGCTCCCCTGCTATCAAGTGGCGGTACATCAAAGAGATTAACGCAAGAATTAATGCGATAAAGCGGCCACACTACGTCAGTGTCACTGTCAACGTCCATCTTCCAAGTAAAATAAACGCCGTTTTCATCCCCAATCATAGGCATTCACGTTCACCGTATTAAGTGTAGCCACCTACTTTAGCGCGTTAAAACTCATCCCGATAATAATCGCGATAATGGGCATTGACGTTAGCCGCTAGTGTGACCCCAGTTTAACAGGTTCGGACAGAAGTAAGAAAAAATAAGATTTGAATAGATGAAATATAGAAATTTTGAAAAATACTAAAAACGACCAAATTTGGATGGGCTTTGAAATAAGATTGAAAATGAAAATTAAAATTGTACAAACGACCCTGAAATGAAAATTAAATGATGATGGGTTGAATCTCAACAAATCCAATGAATTGTCAAGTGTCAGGAATAGGTCATTTATTACTCGTTATTGACAATCGAAACATGGTGAAATAGCTTGGTTTGATTTTTTTGTTATTTTTTCATATTTTTCATCCATTTGTATTGTTTTCAACATTTATCTGCATTATTTCAATTTTAATTCATTCTTCCATTTTTGTTTGCATTTTTGTAATTAACATTTCACCCATTGTTCAACCCATTTCTGATTCATTTTCATTCAAATGGACAAACTGTTTCTACAATCTTCAATTTCTATCATTTTTTTTTTAATTTTTGACATTTTGTTACTTCAACCATCATATCGGTTATTTTCAGTATTTTCAATAATTTCCATATATCTGTTAAAATAATCTGTTGAAATATGTCGCCTCCCTGCGAATGACCACCCTCAGACGTGGAAACATAGTCAAGATAAGCATTACCGAAATCTTACCTTCTAACGTGCGGTTTTAATTTTATTTTTTCCTGAGATTTTGAATCTATTACCGGCTTTTCAATTGTCCGTAACATTATCTGTATATTGAGATTAAAACTGAAATTACACATACTTCAAGACGAACAAATCGATCATAATAAATATTCTCAATTAATTCAATATTCCTAATATAAATTCGTATTCTTACCTTAAGTCCATTTCGTAACAATTCCTTTGCGTATAACAAACCTAGACCTGAGGCACCTCCAGTAATGAGGGCGTATTTTCCTTCTACTTGAAAAGCCATGATCGATTATCAAAAAAGGCAAGCACGAACAAACTAACTGAGGCAGAGGAGACGAATTACATGATCTTATAGATTCAGAAGTCGTAACTAACGAGATAAACACTATGTTTGTTTTCTCTCACTATGTAAAACTCGCATCAAACAAGATAATAATTCAATAACTCTTGTTGTTTTGAATATCAACTCACTTTGATAAGAGACATGAATTTTGTAATGATTACTGAACTAAATAGTCCATTCAACGCACTGGCGATTTTAAAAATGAAGGTCGGAGAGGGCACGACATAACTAGGCGCCAAGATTCAGTAAAAAGGTATAGATATTTGAAGTAATACAGTATTTTCGATTAAGAAAAGAAATAATATCACAAAACTATAACAAAAGAAATATTTCAATAAAAGATAAACATTGCGTACTATCAAAAAGCCAGCATACAAAACAAAACATTTTATTACCTCTTGGAAAGTAAACTAACCACTAATACGCTGCGCTATCCAAAAGACGTTTTTTTTTTTTAATTTGTACCAAGAAACGGAAAATTTTCTCTAATTGGAAACTGGAAAGTCTCGGAAGAATTAGTTGACGCACTATTTCAAGGATTAAAATAGTATTTTTGAATAAAAATGGGTCGACGGGATGAAAATCTTTATCGACAGAAAAGTGAATACCTACAAAATTGAAATATCAATTATAAAATGATCCATGTGAAAATAAAATGTTTCACCGACCTTCATTCTCATCAGATATCTTATCAGAATCGTCTTATTCTTGAGTACTATCACTACCCAAATTCGAATTATAATCTACTTTCTTAAATGTTAGATCAGTAGAACCTTATGACGAAGAACACTTTTTCAATTCATTTGGTGATTTAATAATGGCTTACGTGCATTTAATAAATTACCGAATGAATTGAAAAACTGTTCTTCGTTATTGACTTTCAAAAAGCAGCTCAAAAAATTACTTGTTACAAGATGTTTTTATTCAACAGATGAATTATTTTCAGAAGATATCTCATGTGAATACTGTCATTAATGTTTCTGTTATATTTTACATTTTTATAGGTATTATCATTTTTATATGTGTTTATATATTTTTAACGGCAAGTCTTCGTATTCCAAAGCTCTGAATGCCTATTAATAGACTCAACCGATTTCAGTTGATCGATAAAATGGTACAGGATTTTTGGAAACGCTGGAGGACGGAATATTTGACGAGTCTACAAATGCGTTCGAAATGGACTAAAGATATTCCTAATATAACTGTGGGTTCAGTAGTTATCCTGAAAACGGATAACGCTCCACCCTTACATTGGCCCTTAGCCGTGGTTCCAGATATACATCCAGGAAAGGATGGCAGGGTGCGAAATGTCACTTTAAAAACCAGCAAAGGAACATTTAAACGTCCTGTTGTAAAGATATGTCCTTTGCCCACCCAATAAATGAAAATTATCTTCTTATTCAATTTTTTTATATTTTATACTGATGTTTGATTGGATTTTTCGACTTCTTTAGTTCTTTGTTTTTTCGAAAAGTCTGAGAAAAAAATCAATTTTTCAGGGTGGGGGGTATGTTTTGGCATGTATATATTTAAGGAAAATTAATTTAAGTTTCGGCAACACCGCTCTCGGTTTTGATAGAATAAATCTACTTAGTTGAGTAGTTTACTTTTGAAATTAGAAATATTCGGAACGGCTGGATCGGAAAAGAAATAAGATACGCGCTGGTGTTTCTATTGTATAGTATAGACTAATTTGTGCATTGTTCTTTTGTTCAAATAAGTTTTCTTCAACACTGATTCTTCTAAAACTCCTTGATCCCTCCCTACTTTGCCATAATAGTTTCCCTGAAGCAGTTTGGATCCAACAGCAAAAAACGAGAAAGGGGTAAGTCTCAATCCTGGGTTTATTTAACCATCACTGAGTTATTATTTAATGTATTCTGTGTTTTGAGTTTATCATATCTATTACAGAACATAACATTTGTATGTTTTTTTTTCTAGGCTTGAATTTCCAATTCAATGTTTTGTCTCTTGGAAAATAAATTAATATTATTATTAAAAATCAGATTTTGTTCTTACTCTATCGGTTGATGTAGATGGAACATCAAGAAATGTTGACTTCGTACTGACCGTACTCTCCATAGTGTCAGGTTTATTAGGAACTGATTCCTCAACACACAACTTTCAGTTTGAATTAATTGTTCTTTTGTTTCTCTCTGAATGTTTAAGTTTCCATAATGAATAATATTTCGGATCTTCAATTGAAAATCAACAACTTTCGAATTGCAAGTTTTACAAAAATTTTATTTTGTTTGAGAATGTGATCTAGCAGCATATTTTAACTCTTCTTTTCGTGTAACTTCTGATAATCTGCTCTGGACAATTTTATCTTTTTTTCCATAATCAATAAAATCGACAAACTGTCTGAGATTGTCGCCCACTTGTCCGGCACAGCACAGCACGGCCCGTCCCGTCAAAATACGGATAGGATTGGAACAAGGAAAATTAATGGACAACCGCCCACTAGCCCGGCACGGCACAGCCAAGAGCGTCCGCCGCCGGAAAGGATTCCAGCTCTCCGATCCTGTCCGGCAAATAAGGAGACGTGTTGTGACGGACTGGCCAAGTGGGCGCGTCGCCGGCCAGTGCTTGCCAGCATCAACCTGTCCAAACGTGCCTGGGAAGTTTCTGTCTCTCTGATTTGCTATTCTCACAGATTTACCCTCTTTTGATTAATTGGATGTACCCACAACATTCTTTCTTGTGACTATTTTCTTCTACATACAATAATGCGGCTACTATAATGACGACTCTTCGTCAGAACTGCTAGTGATAGACATGTTTCTGTCACCGCTTGATGTCAACTGAAATTTCCTTGAAATCGAACAAACATCATCTTCAGTATGCTGGTTGTAGCTGGATAAGCGGGCGATGCTACTACCCGTCGTCATCAGGCGACGGACAGCGCCGTGCTGGATAGGGATAGGATTGGAACAATAAAAATGAATGGAGAACCGCCCACTAGCCCGGCACGGCACTGCCAAGAAAGTCTGCCACCGGAAAGGATTCCAGCTCTCCGATCCAGTCCGATGAATAACGATACGTGCTGTGACGGACTGGCCTCGCCGGCCAGTGCTTACCAGCATCAACTTGTCCAAATGTGTATGGGAAGTTTATGTCTTTCTGTTTTGCTCTTACATCAGTTGACAGTACAGCGTCAGACGGTACCTATGAAAATAGACGAGGAAAAATTGGGTTGCTTGTTAAGGCAAGCTCTAGAATATCCAGAAGTTCTGAAAATTTGCCTGGAGTCATTCGGAAATACTGAAAATATTACTCCTCGTCTTCTTTCAGGTCGTTGAAAAGATGATGAAACTCTCACAGACTTGCCCTCTTTTGACTAATGAGATGGACTCACATCCCTATTTTTTGTGGCTATTTTCTTCTACATTCAATAATGCGGCCACTATAATGACGACTTCTTCGTCAGAACTGCTAATGATAGGCATGTTTCCATCACCGCTCGATGTCAGTTGAAATTCCCTTGAAATCGAACAAACTGCAGCTTCAGTATTCTGGTTGTAGCTGGACAAGTCCGTCGCCTGATGGCGACGGATAGCGCCGCGTTGTGCTATGCCGGACAAGTGGGCGACAAGCTTTAGACAGCGAGCGATATGGGATTCACAATTGATCGTGGTCGAGGTATTGAAAGCGAATGTTGTCACGTTTATTGGTTTTCCGTGTTATGTACCTAACAATATATTTGTAAAATTATTAAAATCGAAAGAAGCACTAAAAACAACATTTTGGAAAGGGCGGGGGGCATACTGCTCCCCCTTGTTCCCCCTAGTGCGCACAACTGATTCAACGAAGTGTTTATATATTAACTGTTTGTTTGACAAAAATTTCTATTTTGCTCCCTTAAAAGTAGTCTTCCTCAGTCTCCTTTGTCGGCGTTTCTTCCAAGCAGGTGCATTATCGTGATGCAAAAGCACAATACGGGACGTTTTCTTCGTATTACTTCTCGCAAGCGGCGCAACACTTCGAGATAATGTGTACTCTTTATTGTGGCAAGAACTCCTTAGGCTGGGCGCTGACTTGTAATATGCGATTGCGCAACTGAATGGTTGCGATTGCATCAAACCCCGCACACATACGCAACTGAACTGATTGGGAATCGAGACCGCGCATACATGCAACTGATTCGTTTAATTTCTAACTGAACTTCGTTGAGGTGGCAGTGGTATGTGCGCTTGAATTAATAATAAGAAGAAAGAGAAAACGAAAGAAGAGGTTTTGGCTGCATCCAATGACTTCCCAACGATTAACCGAATGGCAATTTCAAAAATTAATGACGACTTGGGAGTTCATTCGGAAAAATTTTTCAAATACTACCGGATGAGTGTGACCAGTTTTGACAAACTTTTAGAGCTGATACGACCTCACATCACTTATAGAAATACCGACTTTCGGAAAGCCATTACTCCAGCTGAACGACTTACAGTGACTATAATAATATACATGATGGAATTGGCCGATACTTGATGAAAATCCATTACTAACGTATTCAAAAAAAAATTTATTGTGAGATTTTCACTAAACGATTTTACAAAAACGTAACACGTGTTCCGCCATACAATGGCTTCTTTGGGCGTGTAGAGGTGTTAAAATAACGGTTTGGTGTTAGAAAAAAAACTGCAGTAATATTCATTACTACACCAAAGTTTCCAAACAGTGCATCACAAGTATAGTTCGATGTGGTTCGTGTCTTTCGAGATACAAGTTTGAATACATTTCCAATGTCCTAACATTGTTGCTACTGCATTTGTAATAAATTTGTATCGTATATCTTTTTTCTTCATTCGTGAAAGCCATTTTTCGCCAAAAATTCAATGACTTGTACAATAATGTCATTGAGTGTAACAAATTTAGAAACATCAAAGTCAAAGCCTATTATGATAAGAATTATTTTTTTCAATATCTTCATTTTTTTGAAAAAAAATGATTACTTATGATACATCATTGAAAAGATAAAATTTGGTTCCATTCAAAACAGAAAGAATCCAATGTAGCGCCAATAAGAAAAAATAAAGTTGATGATGGTGGCCCGAAGAGAAAACGTCGGATAGCAAA